TATATAGTTCCTTTTTTTTAATTCCAACTTTTCAGCCTATAATTAAAATCACGAAAATTATAGAATCTTTTTAAATATAAAAAAACAGATTAAAAAAATATTTTGTCGAAATTTCAACTATAATATAGATAATATATTATTATATATATATTGAATTCCGCAAGGTCCTCCCCGAGGCACTGATCGAATGGTAAAACAATTTTCAAAAAGAAACGGACACCGAGGTACTTTCACGAGACTTTCCCTTGGGTTTCCAAATGCTTTTTCTCGCACTCAAAATGACTGTGGCGCGGAAAAAAACGAGTGAAGAAGGAAATATTACGCTTTTCATGTGAAAAAGTGCAACTGAAAATTCAAGTAAAATAGAAAACTCTTTTCATATTGTATAAAAATTCATAATAATCATCATTGGAAAATATTTCTCTACAAAAAAAAAGAAAATGTTCCCTAAACATAAAAACTTAAAAATTTCTTCATAGGAATTTCTCACATAAAAATTTTAAAAAGCCATTAAAAAGCTTTTTTTTAGAAACAGTAATATTTTGTACCTATTTTAATTTCGTGCATTTAATGGTCAATAAATAAAGTAATTTGCTTCGGCTAATTAAAAACTCAGTTTAGAAAATTGGACTCTGACAACGAATGATTTTTCAGGAATTCAATTTAGTGGTTCTTTATATAACAGGTATTTTATTATACATATGCCCTCGGAAGATTGTTATACGCGACCTGAATTTGTGGACCGAAACAAAAATCAACTTACATATATATGTGTTTGGCTAACCCGCGGCGTTTTTTAGTTTTTTTTTTATATACACTAACTATATCCAGCTGCCATATGGGACTGATTCAAATAGCTATAATTTCCTTATAACAAGTCAAAGGAGAGCGGTTCTAGAAGTTAGTAGGTTTTGACAGTGGGAACTACATATATGCCAGATTTTTTTAATGAAGGCTTAGGATCGTAACTCGTCATTTTTACCTCAAGAGAAAGAGAGAGAGAGAGAGAGGTATTCAACTTCTGGCCACTTGCCAACGATTATTCCCATTACGAGAAATACACTTTTGTTGTATTCCATCATCCAAAAAACTCGTGCCCCTAACAAGGCCTTTTTAAAATGTCTATCAATTTTTTAAGAAACTCATATATATATATTCCCATTCTGAATTTATCAGGTGGAACAGATCAGTAGTGGTATACAGTTGAAAATTAATATAATGAAAGAAAAATTATATACTTGAACGATTGGAAGAAAATATATTTCTTTTCAAAATAGACTTATCAGATATCATCAGTATAACTTGTAAGAAAAAAATGCATTTAATCCAAACAAAATGACTAGCGTTACTAATTGCTTCTTTTTTTTATTTAAGCCAATTATATATCTACAGAATAAATTTTACTATGACTGATTACTATATTTATCTAGAGAATCGACATATTTTTTCAATTTTTTTGATTGTAATAATATAAAAAAAGGAACAAGTTTTTCAAAACTTTTCTTATTCCTTTATTAATATAAAAGAAAAATAATGAATTAGCTACAGAAGAATAATAATAAAAAAATTGTTTAAATAAAACGAATAACGTAACTTTGACTATACTTTAAAAGTAAAACCGGAACTGTCCGCATCTGATAATTTTTATTCCAGAAATAGTAAAATTTACTCCAAAAATAGAAAAATTAACTAATGAAATAGTAAAAAATTATTCCAGAAATAGTAAATTTTACTATTTTTCTAGAGTAAACCCAGAGAAATGATTTATTTGAACCAAATAAAATATATTTTAGTTAAATAAACGTATATTTGTCTCAAAGCCTACTCACAGAAAATTAAAAGGCATTAAAAAAAGCTGCAACGCTTCTTATTTTAATCCAATTTTGCTTATTTTAATACCAAAATGGATTAAAATAAGCAAAATTGGATTAAAATAAGAAGCGCTGCAGCTTATTTTAATGCCTTTTAATTTTCTGTGCTAACTTATTTATTTGGCGTAAATAAAAATTTTATATGTCAGAAATAAATTTTTCTTTGGCTCAAATAAATTTTTTATTTCAATGAAATGAAATATATTTGCAACAAATAAATCAGTTAGTAGACTCGGAGACAAATATACCTTTTTTTTGAGTGTAAAAATTGACAGAAACTGCGGATAATTCCGGTTTTACTTTTAAAGTATAGTAAAAGTTACTTTATTCGTTTTTCCATTTTTCTCTCTATTAGTAATATTTCTTACCAAAAATTTTAGTAAAAAAAAAATGACTAAAAATTAGTTGAAATTCTAACTAATTAAAATTTGACTAAAAGTTATTAAACTTTTTTTAAATATGGAAATTCTGCTAAAAAAGTGAACCTCACAAATTTGGATGAAACAAAAAAAAAAAAAAAATATTCTCGTGATTTTTAGAAAATTTTTTTGTTTTTCCTTTTCTCTCTTTCTAAAAATTTCGAACAACCCCAGGCGACAAAATTTCGACTCATATTTGCTGAACAATTTACATAAATAGCAAAATGACTGATGATTTGTATATATATCTTTTAAAGAATATTTTCTGTTATATATGAGAAAAGATTGTAATAGGTGTAATATCTATAATTTCAACTCGACAAGATGAATTCTAAAAAAGCGTGTGTGTATATAATGGTTGATTGAAAATGTCTATCATTATCTCAGGTAAAATACCTGCTTAATTTACTCTTCTGTGGCTTTCCTATATTTCCTAATGTAATTTCGCAGTATATATATATATATATATATATATATATAGGCGGGGAATTATTAGAAAGTATTTTTTTTTTTTAAGAAAAACAAGTCTTTTCCTTGTACAATGAGGAAATAATGGTCCACCAGATTCGGTAGCCTTTTAGAAAGACAAATTCTCCTACCAGCTGCATACATATGTTTTCACAGGAGAGAACTTTCTCAAAACTTAGGGGCAAAATTTTCTCAAATATATAATAAGGAATATATAAATATCGTTTCAAATTACCTTGCAAAAGAAAAACACTCTAATTGCTCTTGTGTTGCCGGTTAGAAAACTATAAAAATGCCATCCTCGAAGGAAATATTTTTGTCTTAAATAAACACACCTTTTGCTTCCCTAATAGTAACAAATCTCTCTCTCTCTCTCTATTTTTCTCCCTCTACCCCCTAAATCAACAGAGATAAAAAACAATTGTTAAGATTTCTCCATCGTCGTTCAAAACAATAAATCGTATATGCAGCTATTTTCAGATAAACATTAAGAGACCAACATTTTAAAAATATCTTCGCGCTCTTATCAGGTAATAAAAAAAGAGCAGGGTGTATAATAAAAGTAAAGCCGCGCGAGTAAAAAATTTTTGAAAAAAAAGTTTCTGGAATAATATTAAACAAATCAACAAACGTATATTTAAACAAACGCTGATGTCCTAAGAAAACTTTAAAAAAAAACCAGTCTAGGAAAATATTATAATTGCGCCATTTATTTTTATCTAACGTCAATATAGTAGCTATTAAGAATATAAAACTATATACAATTTAAAAATGAAATCTTATCAGTTGATAACTGTTTTTTTTTCTATTTCATGGAAAAGAATTTTTCAATTAAAATTATCGATTCAAAGAAATTAAAACAATTGTTTTAAGATTAATAGAATTTTTTTTTTCGTCTCTCTTTCTCTAAAAGGACATTCAATCGAAAAGCTTTCTAAATATATTATTTTACTTTACCCTTTGAACAAAACCTGTTAGTAAAAAAGTTTGCAACAAAAAATTTCACCCGAGATAAAAGTATCCTTTAATACACATTAAGTACAATAATAATTAGAAAGAGAAAAGAGCATAAAAAGGTCCAGAGTCCAATCGTTGCATTTTCTCATTCCTATATTTTTTTTTTTTTCATTCCCTAGACTTTTCTATTTTTTTTTCCTCTCTTTTTTTTCAACTTGGAATGGCAACGACGAGAGTTCATTGAAGTTTCAAATTTCAAACTGCATTAGTGGATTACTTCTTTATTAAAATCTTCATTTCGAGATTGGGAAAAGATAAAAAACAAATGCAGAGAAAAATAAAAGAATCAGCGCAGAGACGATGGGGAAAAAAAAAAAATATATATATATACGAGAAAGTTTGTGCCTTGTATAAACTTTTGATCCCAAGTCAACCTCAAAGTCGGCGTGGAAAACGATGTAGCCAGTCGGGCTGGAATAACGCGGATTAAATTTACTAACCGTAGTTTTCTGCGCGAGGTCCTCTCTCTTGCTCTTTTTTTTCTCTTTCTCTCTCAAGTATCTCGCATCGTTTTGAAACGCTTCCAGGTTCGTCCCGGGTCCCAACTCTTCTTACAGTGCAGTGTGATCCCAGCGTTGAGATCATAAACGAAGGGAGTAATCTGGCCTTCGAGTAATTGTATGTTGTACGAGCGAGAGTTGGCGAAAAATCACGGCGCTTGCTTCGGTTTTATATATATATATATATATATAAGGCCCCCTAACTGACCCCCTCGAGGGGCACCACTTCTACTTCTCAACAAGGTATAAGGGGGCCTGTACCCCGCGCGCAAAAGATGAGAACTTTTGAACGAAGCAGATCACAGGAAAATGAGAGAGAGAAAGAGAGAGAGTAGCCCACAAAACAAGGGAAAGAAAACCTATTTGCGAAAAAGATGCTTTAAATAACGAGGTGCAAGAGAATACAAAAAAAAAATAATAAAAATCCAAATTAAACCAACAGCAAAAATTAAAAAAATTAAACTAAAGAAAAAAATACATACACTGAAAAAAAATTATTCGATTCAAAGAATCTACTTGACTATTATCAAGTAAATATTTACTTGCACCAAATAAATTTTAATTCAACAAACATGTAGAAACGTTAGGTAAATTTATTCTCTACAAAAACGATATTAAAAAAAATCGTCGAACAAGATTTGTGGCGGAATTATTAAAACAGAAATAAATAAAATGCAATTATCTTAAAAAAATTTTAAAATCCAAAAATTTAACTTGACCTATACCTCAGCTTCCGCTGGACCAATCAAAAAGTGCGCCATACATTTTTAGTTCGCTACTTTTTGCTAAAGACTTTGGCGGTATTCCCGAACGATTATCTCGAAAATTTAATTTTTCGAAAAATTTTCAAAAATTTATTTGTGTGTAGCTCAGCATCCGCTGGACCAATCAAAAAGTGCGCCATAGATTTTTTGTTCGAGACTTTTTGCTCAATTTTTTGGCATTATTCCCGAGCGATTATCTCGCAAATTTAATTTTTCTAAATTTTTTCCAAATTTGTTTTCTAGTGTAGCTCAGCATCCGCTGGACCAATCAAAAAGTGCGCCATACATTTTTAGTTCGCTACTTTTTGCTAAAGACTTTGGCGGTATTCCCGAACGATTATCTCGAAAATTTAATTTTTCGAAAAATTTTCAAAAATTTATTTGTGTGTAGCTCAGCATCCGCTGGACCAATCAAAAAGTGCGCCATACATTTTTTGTTCGAGACTTTTTGCTCAATTTTTTGGCATTATTCCCGAGTCATTATCTGGCAAATTTTTTTTTTCGAAAATTTTTTCCCAGTTTTAGTGAGTGTAGCTCAGCATCCGCTGGACCAATCAAAAAGTGCGCCATACATTTTTAGTTCGCTACTTTTTGCTAAAGACTTTGGCGGTATTCCCGAACGATTATCTCGAAAATTTAATTTTTCGAAAAATTTTCAAAAATTTATTTGTGTGTAGCTCAGCATCCGCTGGACCAATCAAAAAGTGCGCCATAGATTTTTTGTTCGAGACTTTTTGCTCAATTTTTTGGCATTATTCCCGAGCGATTATCTCGCAAATTTAATTTTTCTAAATTTTTTCCAAATTTGTTTTCTAGTGTAGCTCAGCATCCGCTGGACCAATCAAAAAGTGCGCCATACATTTTTAGTTCGCTACTTTTTGCTAAAGACTTTGGCGGTATTCCCGAACGATTATCTCGAAAATTTAATTTTTCGAAAAATTTTCAAAAATTTATTTGTGTGTAGCTCAGCATCCGCTGGACCAATCAAAAAGTGCGCCATACATTTTTTGTTCGAGACTTTTTGCTCAATTTTTTGGCATTATTCCCGAGTCATTATCTGGCAAATTTTTTTTTTCGAAAATTTTTTCCCAGTTTTAGTGAGTGTAGCTCAGCATCCGCTGGACCAATCAAAAAGTGCGCCATACATTTTTTGTTCGAGACTTTTTGCTCAATTTTTTGGCATTATTCCCGAGCGATTATCTCGCAAATTTAATTTTTCTAAATTTTTTCTAAATTTGTTTTCTAGTGTAGCTCAGCATCCGCTGGACCAATCAAAAAGTGCGCCATACATTTTTAGTTCGCTACTTTTTGCTAAAGACTTTGGCGGTATTCCCGAACGATTATCTCGAAAATTTAATTTTTCGAAAAATTTTCAAAAATTTATTTGTGTGTAGCTCAGCATCCGCTGGACCAATCAAAAAGTGCGCCATACATTTTTTGTTCGAAACTTTTTCCCTATTTTATTGGTATTATTCCCGAGTCATTATCTGGCAAATTTTTTTTTCGAAAATTTTTTCCCAGTTTTAGGGAGTGTAGCTCAGCATCCGCTGGACCAATCAAAAAGTGCGCCATACATTTTTTGTTCGAGACTTTTTGCTCAATTTTTTGGCATTATTCCCGAGTCATTATCTGGCAAATTTTTTTTTTGAAAATTTTTTCCCAGTTTTAGTGAGTGTAGCTCAGCATCCGCTGGACCAATCAAAAAGTGCGCCATACATTTTTTGTTCGAGACTTTTTGCTCAATTTTTTGGCATTATTCCCGAGCGATTAACTCGCAAATTTAATTTTTCTAAATTTTTTCCAAATTTGTTTTCTAGTGTAGCTCAGCATCCGCTGGACCAATCAAAAAGTGCGCCATACATTTTTAGTTCGCTACTTTTTGCTAAAGACTTTGGCGGTATTCCCGAACGATTATCTCGAAAATTTAATTTTTCGAAAAATTTTCAAAAATTTATTTGTGTGTAGCTCAGCATCCGCTGGACCAATCAAAAAGTGCGCCATACATTTTTTGTTCGAGACTTTTTGCTCAATTTTTTGGCATTATTCCCGAGTCATTATCTGGCAAATTTTTTTTTTGAAAATTTTTTCCCAGTTTTAGTGAGTGTAGCTCAGCATCCGCTGGACCAATCAAAAAGTGCGCCATACATTTTTTGTTCGAGACTTTTTGCTCAATTTTTTGGCATTATTCCCGAGCGATTATCTCGCAAATTTAATTTTTCTAAATTTTTTCCAAATTTGTTTTCTAGTGTAGCTCAGCATCCGCTGGACCAATCAAAAAGTGCGCCATACATTTTTAGTTCGCTACTTTTTGCTAAAGACTTTGGCGGTATTCCCGAACGATTATCTCGAAAATTTAATTTTTCGAAAAATTTTCAAAAATTTATTTGTGTGTAGCTCAGCATCCGCTGGACCAATCAAAAAGTGCGCCATACATTTTTTGTTCGAAACTTTTTCCCTATTTTATTGGTATTATTCCCGAGTCATTATCTGGCAAATTTTTTTTTTCGAAAATTTTTTTCCGGTTTTAGTGAGTGTAGCTCAGCATCCGCTGGACCAATCAAAAAGTGCGCCATACATTTTTAGTTCGCTACTTTTTGCTAAAGACTTTGGCGGTATTCCCGAACGATTATCTCGAAAATTTAATTTTTCGAAAAATTTTCAAAAATTTATTTGTGTGTAGCTCAGCATCCGCTGGACCAATCAAAAAGTGCGCCATACATTTTTTGTTCGAAACTTTTTCCCTATTTTATTGGTATTATTCCCGAGTCATTATCTGGCAAATTTTTTTTTTCGAAAATTTTTTCCCAGTTTTAGTGAGTGTAGCTCAGCATCCGCTGGACCAATCAAAAAGTGCGCCATACATTTTTTGTTCGAGACTTTGTGCTCAATTTTTTGGCATTATTCCCGAGCGATTATCTCACAAATTTAATTTTTCTAAATTTTTTCCAAATTTGTTTTCTAGTGTAGCTCAGCATCCGCTGGACCAATCAAAAAGTGCGCTATAGATTTTTTGTTCGAGACTTTTTGCTCAATTTTTTGGCATTATTCCCGAGTCATTATCTGGCGAATTTTTTTTTTCGAAAATTTTTTCCCAGTTTTAGTGAGTGTAGCTCAGCATCCGCTGGACCAATCAAAAAGTGCGCCATACATTTTTAGTTCGCTACTTTTTGCTAAAGACTTTGGCGGTATTCCCGAACGATTATCTCGAAAATTTAATTTTTCGAAAAATTTTCAAAAATTTATTTGTGTGTAGCTCAGCATCCGCTGGACCAATCAAAAAGTGCGCCATAGATTTTTTGTTCGAGACTTTTTGCTCAATTTTTTGGCATTATTCCCGAGCGATTATCTCGCAAATTTAATTTTTCTAAATTTTTTCCAAATTTGTTTTCTAGTGTAGCTCAGCATCAGCTGGACCAATCAAAAAGTGCGCCATACATTTTTAGTTCGCTACTTTTTGCTAAAGACTTTGGCGGTATTCCCGAACGATTATCTCGAAAATTTAATTTTTCGAAAAATTTTCAAAAATTTATTTGTGTGTAGCTCAGCATCCGCTGGACCAATCAAAAAGTGCGCCATACATTTTTTGTTCGAAACTTTTTCCCTATTTTATTGGTATTATTCCCGAGTCATTATCTGGCAAATTTTTTTTTTCGAAAATTTTTTCCCAGTTTTAGTGAGTGTAGCTCAGCATCCGCTGGACCAATCAAAAAGTGCGCCATACATTTTTTGTTCGAGACTTTTTGCTCAATTTTTTGGCATTATTCCCGAGCGATTATCTCGCAAATTTAATTTTTCTAAATTTTTTCCAAATTTGTTTTCTAGTGTAGCTCAGCATCCGCTGGACCAATCAAAAAGTGCGCCATACATTTTTAGTTCGCTACTTTTTGCTAAAGACTTTGGCGGTATTCCCGAACGATTATCTCGAAAATTTAATTTTTCGAAAAATTTTCAAAAATTTATTTGTGTGTAGCTCAGCATCCGCTGGACCAATCAAAAAGTGCGCCATACATTTTTTGTTCGAAACTTTTTCCCTATTTTATTGGTATTATTCCCGAGTCATTATCTGGCAAATTTTTTTTTCGAAAATTTTTTCCCAGTTTTAGGGAGTGTAGCTCAGCATCCGCTGGACCAATCAAAAAGTGCGCCATACATTTTTTGTTCGAGACTTTTTGCTCAATTTTTTGGCATTATTCCCGAGTCATTATCTGGCAAATTTTTTTTTTGAAAATTTTTTCCCAGTTTTAGTGAGTGTAGCTCAGCATCCGCTGGACCAATCAAAAAGTGCGCCATACATTTTTTGTTCGAGACTTTTTGCTCAATTTTTTGGCATTATTCCCGAGCGATTATCTCGCAAATTTAATTTTTCTAAATTTTTTCCAAATTTGTTTTCTAGTGTAGCTCAGCATCCGCTGGACCAATCAAAAAGTGCGCCATACATTTTTAGTTCGCTACTTTTTGCTAAAGACTTTGGCGGTATTCCCGAACGATTATCTCGAAAATTTAATTTTTCGAAAAATTTTCAAAAATTTATTTGTGTGTAGCTCAGCATCCGCTGGACCAATCAAAAAGTGCGCCATACATTTTTTGTTCGAAACTTTTTCCCTATTTTATTGGTATTATTCCCGAGTCATTATCTGGCAAATTTTTTTTTCGAAAATTTTTTCCCAGTTTTAGGGAGTGTAGCTCAGCATCCGCTGGACCAATCAAAAAGTGCGCCATACATTTTTTGTTCGAGACTTTTTGCTCAATTTTTCGGCATTATTCCCGAGTCATTATCTGGCAAATTTTTTTTTTCGAAAATTTTTTCCCAGTTTTAGTGAGTGTAGCTCAGCATCCGCTGGACCAATCAAAAAGTGCGCCATACATTTTTTGTTCGAGACTTTTTGCTCAATTTTTTGGCATTATTCCCGAGCGATTATCTCGCAAATTTAATTTTTCTAAATTTTTTCCAAATTTGTTTTCTAGTGTAGCTCAGCATCCGCTGGACCAATCAAAAAGTGCGCCATACATTTTTAGTTCGCTACTTTTTGCTAAAGACTTTGGCGGTATTCCCGAACGATTATCTCGAAAATTTAATTTTTCGAAAAATTTTCAAAAATTTATTTGTGTGTAGCTCAGCATCCGCTGGACCAATCAAAAAGTGCGCCATACATTTTTTGTTCGAAACTTTTTCCCTATTTTATTGGTATTATTCCCGAGTCATTATCTGGCAAATTTTTTTTTTCGAAAATTTTTTTCCGGTTTTAGTGAGTGTAGCTCAGCATCCGCTGGACCAATCAAAAAGTGCGCCATACATTTTTAGTTCGCTACTTTTTGCTAAAGACTTTGGCGGTATTCCCGAACGATTATCTCGAAAATTTAATTTTTCGAAAAATTTTCAAAAATTTATTTGTGTGTAGCTCAGCATCCGCTGGACCAATCAAAAAGTGCGCCATACATTTTTTGTTCGAAACTTTTTCCCTATTTTATTGGTATTATTCCCGAGTCATTATCTGGCAAATTTTTTTTTTCGAAAATTTTTTCCCAGTTTTAGTGAGTGTAGCTCAGCATCCGCTGGACCAATCAAAAAGTGCGCCATACATTTTTTGTTCGAGACTTTGTGCTCAATTTTTTGGCATTATTCCCGAGCGATTATCTCACAAATTTAATTTTTCTAAATTTTTTCCAAATTTGTTTTCTAGTGTAGCTCAGCATCCGCTGGACCAATCAAAAAGTGCGCTATAGATTTTTTGTTCGAGACTTTTTGCTCAATTTTTTGGCATTATTCCCGAGTCATTATCTGGCGAATTTTTTTTTTCGAAAATTTTTTCCCAGTTTTAGTGAGTGTAGCTCAGCATCCGCTGGACCAATCAAAAAGTGCGCCATACATTTTTAGTTCGCTACTTTTTGCTAAAGACTTTGGCGGTATTCCCGAACGATTATCTCGAAAATTTAATTTTTCGAAAAATTTTCAAAAATTTATTTGTGTGTAGCTCAGCATCCGCTGGACCAATCAAAAAGTGCGCCATAGATTTTTTGTTCGAGACTTTTTGCTCAATTTTTTGGCATTATTCCCGAGCGATTATCTCGCAAATTTAATTTTTCTAAATTTTTTCCAAATTTGTTTTCTAGTGTAGCTCAGCATCAGCTGGACCAATCAAAAAGTGCGCCATACATTTTTAGTTCGCTACTTTTTGCTAAAGACTTTGGCGGTATTCCCGAACGATTATCTCGAAAATTTAATTTTTCGAAAAATTTTCAAAAATTTATTTGTGTGTAGCTCAGCATCCGC